CCTGTGTCAAACGCAGGTATGTGCATTAATAGATCTTATCTATTAAATCCATTCATACTATCTAAGTGCGATGATTTTGTCAAATCGAGTTGTAGAAACTACAAACAACTCCAAATGTAGCTCGAGTGTTCCAAGTGCGACGAAAGAAATAGTTTATGTCTTCAATGAAGTGAAGGCTGGTGATGAATCAGTAAAAGAAACTGGCACAGGCCCCGCCGTACACGACGACAAACCGCAAGACTGCGCAACACGTGCTTGTGCAGTCAAAGCTGCGAAGTTACAACACCGTAAGGTCTATCGTCGTGCCGTATTAGAGATTATGTTCGTCTAATTGTTCCTCGTGCTTATGGCAATATAGGTAAGGCTGTTCTAGCGATTCGCGTGCGTCAAGATGCATATGCACGCAGCTTCAAAAAAGGAAATTTTTAGCTACATCAGCTCGTTTTGCTCGTCATCACTCGCGTCATGAGAGCCACCTTGATCGGCCAAGCGCGCGCTTTGCAGAGTCAAAGTCAGGAAATTCTTCGATGAGGCCAGGGTTCGTAGCAGCGACAGACTGCAGGCATCCCTGCAGCAACTCGTGGTAAAATGACAGCGAATGGATTTTCCTGAACTTGTACAGGTTCCCCACCTCGAAGCGAGTCCTTCCAGTAGAGCGGTTGTTAGGGTCCCAAACCGTCCGTTTGAACACTCGGGCGTCACGTAGGTCGTTTTTGTCGAGGATGTTGATATATCCCTTGAGATGGTTTTTCATGAAACCATCCACTAGACCAAGACGCGTTCCGCGATTGTTATCAAGACGTGAAATGGACTCCACGACCATGATAGCCGACACGTTTTGGGTTGTGGGACGGGATTCTGTTCTTGCAAACGATCGCAACTTCTTCACGGACACAAACTGGTGGGTTGCTTCTTCACGTTGTTGCTGCAGCACCTCCTCTCTAACCTCGGCGATTAGGCGACGTGCTTCGTCCTCGTCGTCGCTGTTGTTGTTGTACCCTCCCGCCATAACACCTTTCTCCAATCCACTTCACAGGGATAAATGAAAAGTGAACTCTGTGATAATAAGAATACCTGGTTCTATGACATTACTCAACTTTTCGACCGGTTTGTAGGACAAACAGAGTACAATATTGGGGTCGCTATCAAACGAACCTATACCCACTTCAAGCTATCGACACTTTATTGTTACGAAACCGTTTTACCGTATCCATGAAGCGTCAACAAGGAAGGTTGTAAAAACGGAATCAACTGATCAAACCGTTTGGAAAACTCGCCGTACACAAATGACAAGAGCCCACAGTGGTGTGTGGTGAAGCAGATTCAGAATATTCCGAGACTGGGCGGTATCAGTTCCAATCAATCAAGATCGACCACCACCCATTATGGCGATCTTGGTGTGGTCCACG